GTGATGGGAGGAGTTGGATATGAGTCATGGCGGTGTAGATTTTCTCGGGGGGCTTGTGGTCGGGTCGTCGAGAGAAGGCATCCTCAACGCAGTTGCTTTTGCCGGGGGTATGGCAAATGGTGAATGTGAACTAGGCAAGGAAGTCTAGCCAGCGGGCTTGGCGTCGAGTGATATGTTTCTTGGAGAGGATAGAGGAGACGATGGTGTTGTTAGTGTGGATGGTGAAGTATTGCCCGTCGAGGTATGGGCGCCAGACTGTGAGGGCGTGAATCACGGCGAGGAGTTCCTTCTCGTTGGAGGGGTAATTTATCCCCGCGGGAAGGAGTTTCTTGCTTGTGAAGGCGATGGGGTATTCACTAGGTGGAGCCTCGGGGTGAGTGGGCGAGTCCTTGACAGCGGTGTCGCGAGGGAAATGTTGGGACAATGCGTCTCCAATGGCGAAGTCGGAGGCATCAGTGGTGACATAGAAATGGCGAGTGGGGTCGGCGATCTTGAGGACAGGGGCCGTGGTGATGGTTTGCTTGAGTAAGTCGAAAGCTTGTTGGCGGCGATCGTTCCAATTGAAGGGCTCGTCCTTGCAGGTGAATTCGTGGAGAGGGTAAGAGATCTCGGAAAAGTTGCGAATGAACGGGCGGTAATAGTTGGCAAGGCTGAGGAAGGAACGGAGTTGGAGGAGGGTCTTGGGCGGGGGGTACTCGACGAGGGTTGTGACCTTCGTGGGGTCCATACGTATGCCTTCAGCGGAGACAATGTGGCCGAGGTATTCGACGCTTGAAGCGGCAAACGTACATTTGCTGAGCTTGGCGTAGAATTTCTTCTCTCGGAGGATCGAGAGGACTTGGCGAATATGCTGGAGGTGGGACTCGAAGGTGCGGCTAAAGATGAGGATGTCATCAAGGTACACGATAACACAGACTTCGAGGAGGTCACAGAAGATGTGATTCATGGTGGACTGGAATGTGGCGGGGGCATTGGTGAGTCCGAAAGGCATTACAAGGAACTCATAGTGCCCAAACCGAGAGCGGAATGCGGTCTTATGGGTGTCCTCCTCGCGGATACAGATCTGGTGGAAGCCACTGCAAAGTTCAATCTTGGTGAAATATTTGGCTCCACGAAGTCGATCAAGGATCTCGGAGATCCGAGGTAAGGGGTACTTGTTCTTGATCGTGATCCGGTTCAAGGCGCGGTAGTCTGTGCACATGTGGAGTTCCGAAGTTCCACCTTTCTTTAACAAAAGGCAGCTAGTACCGAAGAGAGATGAACTCAGCTTAATGAACCCTTTTTCAAGGAGCTCATTGAGTTGCCACTTCATTTCTTCGGCTGCAGGGACCGAGAGTTGGTATGGAGGGCGGCAAGGTGGAGAATGTCCGGGCTCCAAATCGATGGTATGGGATACGCCACGATCCGGAGGTAATCCGGCAGGCAGGGACTCAGGGAAGACGTCCTTGAACTCGTTGATGATAGAGGTGAGGGCGGGGTGAGAGGGGGGGGGCTGATCGGGTTTGTCTGTTGGGAGTAAGTCCTCGAGTCTTTTGCGGTCAAGGACAAGGCAATAGTAGGCGGAGTCGGGGTTCATGCAGGCAATGTGGAGGAATCGATGTGGGGTGACGGAGCCTTGGGAGGTCAGATATGGGAGATAGGGAATGTCGATGGTTGTGTCAGGGGGGTTGGTGAGGCAGAGGAAGTTGGGGTGGAATGCGTATGGCATGTAGAGGCCCAACCACGATGTTCCTAAGATGATGTCGCACATCAAATGCATGGCATCAAATGAGACCTGACTGCGGAGGGTTCCTACTGTCATGGTGGTCTCGGCGGTCCACAACGACAGCAATGTCTTTGTCCCCTAGACGGACCATAATCGGGGAGTCGTAACCGGTAGAGGTAAGACCGGCTTTCCGAACACACGCGTCGGTGATGAAGTTACTGGTGGCTCCTATGTCAAGGAGGGCCCGAAACTTAGTGGTAGACGCACCAAGGTGGCGGTGATGAATTTGAGGTGGAAACGGGATGAGTTGGTGTTGAGGCGGCGTTGTTCGTTGCCTAACCGGACAAGCCGATTGAGTCGAGTTTATTTCTCAACAACATCGGAGAAGGTGACAGAGGATGGATTTGGAAGGAGGGTGGAGGAGCACGAAGCAGTGGGGGGCGTCTCAAGTGATGAAGGTTGCGACGTCTCGAGGTCATCCGATGGAGAGGGTGTCACCGGGGAGGGGGGAGGCAGACGAATTGTCGATGCCAAATGGGCCGTTAGTGGGACGGGGGATGTCACCGGCGGGTTGGCCGGCAGACGAGTTGTCGATGCCGGGACGAGGTCTTGGGGACTGTGTTCAGGACGAGGAGGGACCCACGCCTGCGGAGGGGGGTGACGCAGAGGTTGCGGGTAGAGGGGCTGAGGATTGGCGGGTGAGCTGTCCAGCATTGGGGCAGTTAGTTTGTTGGTGTCCTAACTGGCAACAACGGAAACATCCACCCTTTGCCTGAAGGTAGGCTCTTTCCTCAGGTGTGAGTTTCTTGAGGCGGCCCGGGGGGGTGGTCGGGGAATGGCGGCTGGAGCGATCTCTCTTTTCCATTCGCATGAGGTGAATAGCAGAGAGTTCGTTGGGGGCGAGTGATGTGGTTTCTAGTGGACCGGAGAGGGTGTCAAGGTCGGGGGAGGTGAACTCATTCGAGGAGGTGATGGAGGTGGTGTCCTCGGACGCGATGTTGTGGAAGAAGCGAGGGCGGGGAGGGGCTGATGTAAGTGCGGTCTTGTAGGGGGAGAGGATGCGGTCGAGTTGCAGGGTACGAGTGAGGAGGTCGGCGAGGGTCATGGGGGGCTCGTGGACAAGGGCGGCCGCTAGGTCTTTGCGACAAACGCGCTTAACGCGTGAGATGAAAGCGAAATCGCTGACGACGTCAAAGGGGATATGTTGACGAAGCGAGCACACATATTGCACAAAATGGTCGGTTGGTCCGGTTTGTTGGAGCCGGCAGAATTGGTCGATATAGTCATGGAGCGTTTTCTGTGAGCGGAAGGTGGAGGTGATGAGGGTGGCCCACTCAAGGAAGGTGTGAGGCCGGAGACCGGCGTGATGGCGATTAGACATTTCGGTGTACCACCAGTGAGCAGCGTTATCTAGAAGTTGGCCGCTAGCGATGGGGAGTCAGTGGATGACGGGGATGCCGCGGAGGGAGAAGGCTTGTTAGAGTTTGGTGAGAAAGAGGACATCCTCATGGGGTTGGCCCGAGAAGGTGGGGATTTCCTTGACGCGGAATGATGGGGGATTTTGCCTTCTCTGGGGTTAATGGTGGCAAGGGTATTGAAATCAAGGGTGGGAGAGGGAGAGTCGAACAGGGTGAAATCATTGGCCGGGTTGGTGGGGATGAGAGCATTTGGGGGAAGGAGCGGGATACACAGCTTGTGGAATGATCTGGGTATAGTTGGGGATGGTTGAGGTAATAGTGGAGGTGGATAAGAGCGGTTTTGATTGGGGGGGGACGGTTGATGACTGTGTGATGGCAGGGGTTGTCGTCTTGGGCGAGGGGGGAGGTGGAGCGACCATGGTGGAGGTAGTGGTGGATGAGGGTGGGGATCAACGCCTTATTGACCGTATGGCTTACCAACGTCCGCACTCTTCGTGGCTCCTTCAGAAGACGACACAACTCCCGCCTGTTCACCCTCATTGACGTCTTCGTTTTGATGATCTTGTGGAAGCAAAATGTGCCCCCTTTTTCAAGTAGCCCTTTCATCCCCCGTAAAAGGAGTCTTGTCGATCCAAAACTCACCTTCGTGTTTCCGAAAGCCCTGGACAATCTTTTCCGAAAGCGCTGACCGTGACTGTACAGGCATTGTCGTTCCATTCCCTGTCTACTAATTGGACATGGCATGCCAGGGTGCCATACATGAGTGAAATGTTGACTATCATCATACATATGAAAACAAGAACTTTCATGGGCTATGCCTTCATAATCCTCAGGCGGGCCATCACAAAGTGGCATTGAGCAAGTTTCTTGGTTTCCGCAGTCATCGTTCCCTCTCTATGAGCAGGTGATGACAGGTACTGAACCAAAGTAAGGGTGTTTAGCTGTTGCAAGATTTGGTCTGCAACAGCTCGCCCTGATGGTGATAACCTTTCAGTACAACACACTGTAGATGGTTCATGTGAGAGTCTATTTTCCACCTCAGGCTGTTGTGCCTGTTGTTCGTCTGGCAATGATGAAGGAAATCCGACAACGGGTGCAGGAGTATGCCCAACACTGCATGCAGGACATGCCAGGAGAGGATGTGAAGGCTAGCAGGACAGCAGGCTGACGTTCACAGCTATTTAGGCATGGCATGTCAAGACCACAACGGCATATTGGGCAAGTAATAAGGGGGTGGGTGGTATGAGTGGAAGACAACGGTTCACAGTTTTTGCGGTAGAGGCTGGCAGTGACCATCCTTTCACAGTGTTCGGGGCAGAGATTATGTCGTGTACATGCTAGCGGAACTGTAGCTGTATGGAGACAAAATGGCATGGCACAGCCACCAACCTCTGGAGAGGCCCTTCACTATCCGTAGCAGAATCTGCCCGATCTACTGCCTGGCCATGTACTGGGGAGGGGGGCAGTTCATCCGGATTGTTCTCTGGGGGCCGTAGAGCTTGCAAGTGCACATCCACATACTGTTCCTGATTAACCAGCCAAACTGAATGGGATTCTGCCACTCCATGATAGAAAGAGTTAATATTTCCCACAGGTGGCACCCCACCGCCATTGTCCCATAGGGTCCATGGATTATCCGCTAAGGTAACATCACTGAAATGACCATGAGGATGCCGGATGTACGCACAGATATTCAGGTCCATGTTCTGTGGAGCGGGCTGGAGTTGCAGTTGTCTTCCTATAAATGTCACAGACAGCACTTACTATGTTCATGCCAGGTGCAGTACTGTCATCCTCTGGGCAGGCAGCACGGTGCTCTTCTTCTATCCAGTGGACAATGTCTACAAAATCGGAAACTGTGTAGCACTATGAGATCATTTGATTCTGCAGATTGGGGGGCAGGGGGAGGTTCATTTAATTCTGCAGATTGCATGGTAGGGGGAGGTTCATTCCGGTCTTGACTGTTTATGTAAGGATCCTCTGGCTGTATTAACCCCATTGGCTCTAGCATACTTTCCAGAGAGAGATCATCTCCAGTCGGGGGCTCCATCAAATGAGCAGAAGGTGGATCATTGTTGGCTGGAGTGGGGGAGCAACCGGGGCTAGACAGATGATAAGTGGGTGGGTCAGGTCCAAGAAGCAGAAGCTGATCAGCCGCACTTGTGCTCAGAATGGCTGCTAGTTGTGCAAATGCTGCACAGGCGCCTTCACCTCGTTTCTGGTGCACACGCAGTCCTGCAGCACTGCAAAAATCATCACCACATTGTGGGCATTGGACTGGGAATGTACTATTCCTGGCTAGTGTGTATTGGGAACGACAACGTCGTAAGGTTGCCAGCGTGGCGTCAACTTAGATCTCCAACCCTGTCGGGGGCGAGAGGATCATGCTGTTCAAGTACAAACGAACATCTCCGCCGAAGAGGCCTTTATGACGCCCAATCTGACCATGAACGCCTCAGCCGATGAGACCTCTGTGACGACTGATCTGACCATGAGCGTGTTGATGATGAGGACGATGACGGAGGCATGCGAGGGGGAGGAAGATGAGGAAGAAGAATGGGAGTAGGAGGAGGAAGAACGGGAGGCAGTTGATGGAGGGGATGATGTAGTGGAAGGTGTAGGTGGAGGAGCTGGTGGTGATGATGGTGGTAGTGATGATGGCGGCGGCGGTGGTGGTGGTGGTGGAGGCACACTTTCAGCAACAGCCACATTAGTAGGATGTAGGCCATCATCCCCTGAAGCCACTTCCGCAACATTTACATTGCATGTTGCAGCTGGCCCGGTGTCCAGCTGAACTGTAGTATCAGCATTAGCAGCTGCCATTCCAGTAGGAATAACATGGGAGGGCAGGGCAGGTCTGATGCTGCCTGTGTTCAGAATTGGTATTCTGGAGTGGGTGGGGGTCCACTGCATGTGGCTGTGTGGAGGGCGGATGCTGCCTGTGTGCAAGAACTAGCATTCTGCGCACTCGGCACTGGGTGAGCAATCGCCCGGCGCACAGTGCAGTGAAACCAGTTCGTAAGCCTGGAGACATGAGTGGGTAGCCAATGCTGCCAGCCACACACATATGCAGTCCAACCTCTGGCCAGGACACTGGCAGGATGGCCCCTAACAAGCATATGTCGTGTCAGGAGGGTCACTGGTCCCCAGGCCCCCAGGCCACACGGCCGTCATTTTTTAGTAGGTCTGAGGGCCACATTCCAGTTCCTGAGCATACACCACCCTCGTTTTTGGGCCTAGGACCTATTTCAGTTCTTTCTGATATTATTCCAGATTCTGTTTCTGCAGATGTTGTCTGTTTATGGATTTGTCTGATCCAAGACTTGTTGTTGTGGACTTTCTGTTTTTGTGTGCATGTGTGTGTCTGTAGTATGCATAAGGCCTCCTACACGCTCCCTACCGTCTTCACCCGAATAAAACACCCGGTCATCATTGCTGCATCTGGTTGGAAAGTTGCCCCAGATACAGCTTTAATGACCGGGCGTTGTATTCGGGTGAAGACAGTAGGGGTCCAAGTTTGGTTCCCAGGCCACCAGGCCACACGGCCCTCATTTGTTAGTCAGCATGATGGCCACATTCCAGTTTCTGAGCATACGCCACCCTCGTTATTGGTCCTTGGACCTCTTTCAGTCCTTGGTGCTTTTGTTGTCAGATTTTATCTGTTTATGGATTTGTCTGATCCAGGATGTGTTGTTGTGGACCTGTCTCTTATACACATCTAGATGTGTATAAGAGACAGGCCTTGGGTGTAGCGGTGGTGAAGTGATGGGAGGAGTTGGATATGAGTCATGGCGGTGTAGATTTTCTCGGGGGGCTTGTGGTCGGGTCGTCGAGAGAAGGCATCCTCAACGCAGTTG